CGGACCCGACTCATAGCGACCCCTCCTTGGGTTTCCGAGGCAGTATCACTACGGAAGTAGATTGCCCCATCTTCCTTCCGAGGAGTGGCTGGTGGTTCCTACCAGCCTTCTGGTTAGCAGTCAAGTGCCTTAGCCACTATGCTACCAGAGCTCTCTTTAAGTCTCATGCAGTACCAGTTCCCTGGTAGTGGGAAGTAACAGCCAAGGTAGGATTGCTGCAGTTCATACTGGCAGTGCAAAATAAAATTTTAAGTTATTGTAATCAATGTGGACAAAAGACAAACATTTGCTAACCAAAAAAAAAAAAAAACTTCAGATATATATTTTTTCAAACAAGTGATTGAAACGAGAAATAAAACTATAAGAAAAAGAGAAAAGAGGCGGATTGTGAGCGGCTGTCCCGGTTCTGGAGAATATTAATAGCTTGGAGGACAGAGAGAACTGGAAAGGCCTGTCCAGAGACTAAGTGGCCTGGAGTCAGTAAAAACCACATCTCCCAGAAACCTCAGGTCCCAGTCAGGGGCGGGGCCAACGGCGAGTGGCCGGGGCCGGAGGTGGCCCCGCCTTCAGAACAAGAGGGGCGAATCCTGGGCGAGGAGCATCACGGGAAGAAGTGGCGGGAGCAGCCGCTATGGAAGCGCAGAAGGAGAAAGAAGCTCGGGTATTTAGGGTCTCCTGGAAACCGCTTTTTGACACTCCCGAGACTGCGAATTTCGCACATCTGACTCCATCTCCTGGCCGCCACGCCTACCTTTTCTCTCCCCGTACTTTCGCACGTCAATCTTTAATGCCGCCCGCAGAATCTGCGAGCCTCTTCAGTCCCTTAGAGTATTCACGGAACAGCGGTCCCTTCTTTTTTCTTGCTTGTACTCTGGCCTGGAAAGGCGTGTAGTGAACACCCTACTACATATCCCCTCCCAACCGACTGGAGTCAGACTCCTGAACCCAAACCTACCTGCCAACCAGTCTCACCCTTGGCTGCTGCTTCCTCCGAGATTTCCACACCTGAACTGCTTGCGTGGCCCGCATCCCAAACGGGCGCTTAGGGGCACTGAGGGGCTTCTGAGACTTGGGACTTAAAGACTGCACGTATAATAATGCTTTCAGAGCTGTATATTGAGCTTTACGGTTTTTCGAGTGATGCAAATTACTAACTGAAACTGCGTTTTCTAGCTGTGGGAAATGGTGGATTGTTCTCTGGTAATAATGACTCTTTTTCGGTTGACATTGTGTTTAGTTTATTTCTGACATTTATGTCCCTGAAACAAATTAGGATTGGTTTGCTTTTACTCACGTCTCTGCCCCATTTGCTTTGGGTCATTCTATTGAACAAAACTAATATCTGTCTCCCTTTGAATGGTTAGGTTGCTGCCTGGTTGAAAAGCATATTTGGAGATCATCCCATTCCACAATATGAAGTGAATCCACGGACCACAGAGATTTTGTATCATCTTTCAGAACGTAACAAGGCCCGGGACAGAGATGTCTCCCTAGTCATAGAGGACTTGAAACAGAAAGCAAGTGAATATGAATCAGAAGGTGAGATTAATTCTAGAATTTGAAAAGCAGTAGTAGCTGGAGGCTATTACTCCACATTTTGTCACCCTAAATGTGTAGACTACTTGTTAGCTTTACTTCTTCATTTTATTCAGATTTGTCTTCCACTCTGTGGTCATAGTCACTTTCTTAAATCCTAAGTGTCATGATAGTACACACTTGCTTAAATATTTCATTGGTACTCTGATAGTAAAACAGTAAGACCTAAAAGAGTTGTGAGACCTAGGGGGTGCTAGTGCCATCTAGTGGATAGAGGCTGGGGATGCAGTTAAACTGCAGTGCACAAAACAGCACCCCAGATTATTCCATTCCCCAATAGTCAGTAGGGTCAAATTGAGAAACTGGTGTAGAAAAAAACACTTTTCTTAAGCTTTCGAAATCATCAAAACTGGTTGTCACGTTTGAAACCATGTCTTTAACATGAAGTGATCAGATTAGAATAAAAATAAATGAACAGAATGTGTAAGTGATTAGGCTCCAGCAATTCCAAGTTTGTGCTCAAGAGTATGTGGCCAAATTCAAAGGATAATAGCTCACTGGGATGTATGTGACATCAGCCTGTTCCAACCTGTTGGAATCAGTGTGTTAAACAGACATATTTGAATGTCAATTGAAAAGATTATTATTCTATACTCAGGTTACTTTAGTGTTGAAGAAATGTATTTGGCCAATTTTGGAGCTAAAGACCATATTTACACTATCTGGGGACTATCAGAATGATTAATAACTTTAAATCCCCGACTTCCCAAAAAAGCCTTCTGGTACAGCATACATATGTACATAACGTACATAAACATACACATATTTTTTCATATATATATATTTCTAAAGGTTAAATATACTAAATCTGAAATTTAAAAAGCCATACAATACTGATATCACTGGTCATTGTGATGTATTTGAATGATTTATAATCAGTATAAGCAGCTCTGGTGGTCCAGTAGTTAAGGCATTTGACTGCTAACCAGAAGGTCAGTGGTTCAAACCTACCAGCTGCTCCACAGAAGAAAGATGAGACAGTATGCTTCCGTAAAGATTTAACAGCCTTGGAAACCCACTGGGGATTGCTATGAGTTGGAATTGACTTGATAGCAATGAGTTTGGTTTGGATAATCAGTATGTCTCCATTTTTCTGAAGTCAGTGAAGTTTTTCAGGACAAATTCTTCAAAGATTTTCATGGAAAATTGTAAAATACTTTATGGTCTTTCTGCTGGATGAATCCACGCAATATTTTCCGAAAGAGAAGGCCAAAACTCATGTTTAGAAGACGTTTTTTCAGTGATTATCGGTTTTGGGCACTCTTTGCCAAGAGTTTTTTTTTCTTTTAACTCATGTTCAATTTATTCTCCAGCAATAGCTTCCTGAAATCAGGAATTAGTAAAATAGTCTCACAGGTGGAAAATGGGTTGATGACTAAGAGCAGTGGTTTCTTTTGGAGATAGTGAAAATGCTAAAATGGATTGTGGTGATGGTTAGGCAACTCTGAATATACCTAAAGACACTGAATTGTAAACTTAAATTGTTTGAATTACATCTGAATAAAGTTGTTTTTTTAAAAAGCATCATCTTAGTCACCATAAAACTCTTTTGTTTTCAGCTAAGCGTCTTCATGACCTTCTCATGGATAGTGTGAATTTTTCCCCCACCAGCCTCTCTAGTGCTGGTTCCAGGTATCTGAATGCTTTGGTTGATATCGCAGTAGTGCTTGAAACAAAGGATACCTCACTAACTAGGTAATTCTTATGAGTGTTCAGTTCTGCTTTCATATATGTTAAAAAATTTTTAGTTCTCTAGATAACTCCATCTAAAAATTAATTAATGAAAAAATAGTTAATTTTAATTAAATTTAGTTAACTCCTTATCTATGCTGATTAGTATAATTATTTCACATAAATTTGGGCATTGGTTAATTTTATCATTTTCTTTTTCCAGGATTAGGTTTCTAAGGTTGGTTCTTAGATATATGTGAGGATGGATTAGGTATCACTTATACTGTTGCCCATGAACAATAGGAAACTCAGTAGACTAAATGAACTGGCTGAGAGCAGTGAATTCTGATACTGTCCCTACTCTGCTGAGTAGAGTAGGTTAAACCAAAACCAAACCAAACTCACTGCCGTCAAGTTGATCCCCACTCATAGTGACCCTCCTTGGGTTTCCAAGGCAGCATCTTTATGGAAGTAGATTGCCCGATCTTCCTTCTGGGGAGTGGCTGGTGGGTTTGAACTGCCAGCCTTCTGGTTAGCAGTCAGGTGCCTTAGGGACTACACTACCAGAGCTCCTAGAGTAGGTTAGGGTTGCTAATTTTTTATGACAGACATTTCAACTATATAAAGACATTCTTCCAACAACCCTTAGAGGAAACTGAGGCTCAAAGTTAAATAACTTTTCCAAGCTAGTAAATGACAGCGTTGGGGTTCAAACTGAGTCTTGACTCCACAACTCCACAGTCCCTATGTCCCTATGACTATTTCTGGTGGTCATACCTTAGCTGTGACTACCACTCCAACTTGTCATTATTTAAAAAAAAAAAAAAAAAACTTGTATCATCAGAGAACTGCATAGTTTTTCTGCCCAATTGCCTATGGAAAAAAAAAAAGCCAAACCCACTGCTTTTGAGTCAATTCTGACTCATAGCTATCCCCTTTGGGTTTCCAAGGCTGTAAGTCTCTATGAAAGTGTATTGCCTCATCTTCCTCCCGCAGAGCAGCTGGTGGGTTTTAACTGCCAACCTTCTGGTTAGCAGCCAAATACCTTACCCACTATACCACCAGAGATCCTTGTCTGTAAGGGCTTGGAATTATATATATGCTCAGAGAGGTGTTTTAAGTAGAACATATAAGCTGCATGACAGCAGAAATCTAGCCTTGAAATAAGTCAGTTCAGTGGACACTAAATGCCAGCTACATGCCAGGCACTATAAGCCTGAGGAAGGCAAAGATGAATAGTAACCACCTTCAAGGCCAGTCTCTGCTCAGAGTCAAATAAGGGATATAGACAAACGATGATACAGTGTGAGAGCTCTGACAATGTAAGAATGTGCAGTCTGTAGCTGGGTAGCACAGAGAAAGGAGTAGCAAATTCCAGAATGGGAGGGAAATTTATCTGACTTTTGAAGGAAAGTGGGAATTTGCCAGCTGAAGAAGGGCATTCCAAGGAATGGGAAGAGAATGTAAAAGATGCGTAGAGGTGTGAAACTGTAGTTATGTAAGAATCTACATAGAGGTAGAAACATTTTTTGAAATGAGATAATTGTAGTTACTGTCCGTAATATCCATTTGTGTGACCAGATTCTTCTTTTAGTTTTATCCCTGCAGTGAATGATTTGACCTCTGATCTTTCTCGCACCAAGTACAAAAATGAAGAAATAGAGCTTGAATTGACAAAACTTGGAAAAAACCTAACTGCAACTTTAGTATTAGAAAAACGTCTACAAGAGTAAGTGATTGAGTTGGAAGTTGTTTCCTAGGCATGTCATAAGAAATTACCACAGACTGAATGGCTTAAAGCAACAGAAATTTATTCTTTCACAGTTCTGGTGGCCAGAAGCCCCAAATCAAGGAAATGGCATGGCCGTTTCCCTTCAAGGCTCTAGGGCAGAAAATTTCCTTGCCCTTTCCAGCTTCTGGTCGGCTCCTGGCATTCCTTGACTTGTAGCAGTATAACTCCCATGTTGCTCTCTGTCTTTCCATGGCCTTCCTGTGACTTGTAAGGACCTCACATTGGATTTAGGGCCCAATATGTCTAGTGGAGCTCTGGTAGAGTAGTGCCTGAGGCACTTGACTGCTAACCAGAAGGCTGGTGGTTCAAACCCACCAGCCACCCCTTGGAAGGAGGGTTGGGCAATCTACTTCTGTAGTGATACTGCCTCGGAATCCCAAGGAGGGGTTGCTATGAGTCAGGTCCAACTCGATGGCACATAACAACAACATGTCTAGTGGTGCAGGGGTTAAGTGTAAATATTTACGTTACATTTAGTAGAGAGGCCTTTGGTACCTCTACATTTGAAGCTGTCCTTTGGATATGTTTAAATCACTTTTTAAAAAAAAAAAAATTGTTGTTGAAGGTAAGCACAGCAGTATAACAATTTCTACATGTATAGTCCAGTGACTTTGATTACATTGCTCATGTTATGTAACCAATCTCACTCAACTTTTCCAAATTGTTCCTCCCCCATTAACATGAACTCACTGCCCTCTAAGCTAAATCACTTTTTAAGCAGATTGCCTTTCTCCAAGTATATTTGGCACAGTTTAATTATTAAAGTTATTTTGTATTCCTTGAGAAAAATCCCAGATAGCAGTGCACAGGGACCACTGTTCTGGAAGAATGCACGGTAACTAGTCTGGGATGTAAAATTTATGAGTGAGAATCCATCAGGTAGGTTACCTGTGTTCACTGAACCAGAGTTGTACCCAAGTAATAATAGAGTTTGTTTTCTTATAATAATTTTACTGAGAAGAAAAAAATGTTATTAACTCTTCTTTCTGAAGGGACCTCAAGAAGGCAGAGCACCATCTCTCTATAGAAAAGGCCAAAGTTGACAGTCGTCTTCAAAACATGGATTTCCTAAAAGCAAAATCAGAGGAGTTCAGACTTGGAATCAAAGCTTCAGAGGTTTGTACAAAGGACTAAATATATGAATTTTCTTTTGTACCTTCTCTCTCACAACTAAACCCACTATCATCAAGTTGATTCCAACTCATAGTGACCCTGTGAGTCTGAGTAGACCTGCCCTATAGGGTTTCCAAGGCTGTGAATCTCTTTTTTTATTTTAATTGTGCTTTAGGTGCAAGTTTACAGAACAGAGTTTGTTTTACATTCAACATTTTGTGTACATTTAGTTTCACTCCCCTAACCCAGTCTCCTCCCCTCCCTGCCCAGTAACCTCTCCCCGTGCCCCTCATAGTTATGCACTCCTGTGTGTCCTGCATTTCCTCCGTGTGAATGTTGCCTCTCTGGTGCCCCGTGGTCGATTGCTCCAAGGGATGCATCTCCATAGAATACATGGGTGTGTCACCCTGGGCTTGAGTGTTCTGCATGTACGTCTTGTTTACTATTGGGCTGAGAGCCAGTCCCTGGGAGTGAGTTTTATTCCAGGCCCAGAATACATCCCAGGGCCATAGTATTGGGGGTCTCACCAGACTCCATCCAACTCATAATTCTGGTCATTATTGTCTTTTTTTATTTTGTTCCATGTTTTTCCTCCCACTCTATCCAGGATCTCCAGATTTGATCCTTTCCTGAGTGGTTGGCATTGGTAGCTGGGTACCATCTAATTCTTCCAAGGTTGTAAATATTTAAGGAAGCAGACTGTCTCATCTTTCTCCATGAAGTGGCTGGTGGGTTCAAACAACTGACCTTTTGGTTAGCAGTGAAATGCTTTAAGCACTAAGCCACCAGAGCCCCTCAGAAGTAGGCAGTATTATTGCTCCCTTTTTACAGATCGGAGAAATAAGGCACGGAGTACATAGGTAACTTGCCCACAGTTACACATAACTACTTAGCAGCAGATCCAGACCCAAGTCCAGGTGCTCAGGCTCCAAAGCTCAGGCTTTGTAAGCACTTCACCCGTAAGGTGATTCATATATTCAAGTGATTGGATGTGTATACAGTTCTCATCTATGCCTCATAGATTCTCTTTACTGTTTTATATGTTGAAAACATTTCATTATGGTCACTCGCAAAATATTTTTGTCCACTGAACCACCTTTTTCGTACTTACAGGAGCAACTTTCAGCCAGAGGCATGGATGTGTCTCTGTCTCATCAGTCACTAGTAGCACTGTCAGAGGTGAGCTTAATTGAACCTAATTTACCTTTCTTTAAAAGTCCGGAATCTGCTTTTTCATTTGTTCTTTTTATAGACCTCTTTTTCACTATTGAACTGATTTCTTTTCCTTTCCTTTCTCTGTACTTTATATCTTTCTTACTTGTTTAGCTGTGTATATCCTCAAATTTGTTTGGTTTTCTGTACTCATCACTGTAGGCTAGAAACTCTTTGCTGTAGTTAGTGATATGCTATTGAGCATCTAGGTGCTCATCTTTTTCTTCTTTTTCAATGTACAGTAAAAATGCAGATCTCAAAACTCTTGTAGTTTCCAAATGCAATTCTGAGTTTTCAGATTGTATAGGGTTTATCTAGTTTGGAAAAGGAAAAAATAGGTATGTTTGTTTTACTATTATTTAAATTAAAAAAATTTTTTTCAATTATTTAAGTTTTTATTGTATTTTGGGTGAAAGTTTACAGACCAAATTCATTTTCCAGATAGCAGTTCATACACATTTTGTCTCCTGACATTGACTGTGATTCCCCACAATGAAACAGCTCTCTTCCCATTTCCTCTCCATAGTTACCTCTTCCCTGTGTCCTTCCTTCCCATGCACTCCCACTCCCCAAACTATTTTATTATTCTTAAAAATTTTTTCTAATTTGCTTCTGCTTGAGGCATTTGTTTGTTTATGTGTTCATTTGGAGAGACTCCACAAGTTATGAAGTCAGGTTGGTTATAATCTTTACAGAAGCCATTTGCCAGGCCACGTTCTTCACATTACCGCTGACTGAATTCAAACTTGCAGCCTTTGGGTTAGCAGCCAATCACAGACATAGACTATACTACCCAAGGCCCATCTCCTTTGATTCTTGGAATCTGAAGTTGGCCATTAATAAATTTGTAGTTGAGACTCTGGTTGTTCTCTTATATTCTGATTCCTCTTGCATTCTTTTGTGTTCCTAGACAGCACACTTAAATCCTAATCTTAACTAATACTTAAATCCTACTCTTAATAAATAGAACTTGAACATTCCCATTTAAGCATCTTATAAATATTGTTTCCATTGAAAGTGTCTGTTTATTTTTGAAGCTTTTACTGATAATGTTATTTTTAAATACCCTAATTTTAATTTTTTATGTTTCATTTCAGAAATGATTGTAGTTAGTTGCATTATGAATGTCACTGTGACTCTTTGTTTTACCCTCAGAAACTGGAAGAACTAAAACGGCAGACTAAACCTTTGAAGAAAAAATTGGAATCTTATTTAGATTTGATGCCGGTAATTATTCCTTTTTTTTTTTTTTT